ACTTCAGTGACTCCTGACATTGCTCTTGGAGAGAGGTATCTGCTCCTCATTTCCAGGCAGGGTGGACACTGCCTGTCTCCAAAACCTTTTCCTGTCCATTAACCTGGTAGAGCCTTCTGACGGTGTGATGGAAGGACAGTGCCGAGTCACCTTTGCAGATGGGGACCCTGAAGCACCCACAGGGTTTCCCACAGTGCTTGATTTCCTCTCACATCCCACAGTATGCTGCAGGGGTGCTGCGTCCTGCTTCCTGCTGGCTAGCTATGCCAGTGTTCCTCATCCCCAGCTGGCCACAATGATCAGACTCGGCTCTGATCTCAGCTCTATGTCCCTGATGAGGTGTGTTGCCTCTCTGTGCCTCAGTTTCCTCACTGTGGTGTTGAGGATGTGAGGGTTTCTCTGCCAGGTGCTCATGTGTGACATGCAAGGGTGGGACAGGAGTTCAAGCTCCCATGCGTGGATCCTTCAATTTGGGTTGTGTGCTTTGGACTCAAGGGCTTGCTGGGTCAGTCTGGGTTGCTTATTTTCTGCCACTCTGTGCCTTCTTCAGCTCCTGAGTTCACCTGCTCTCATGGCTTTTTGTTTTTGGCCAACTTGATGAAAGTTAGAGTTATTAGATAATAGCAGGAGCTTCAGTTGAGAAAATGATGTCTGTATTGGATTGCCAATGTGCAAGTCTCTAGGGAGTTTTCTTGAATAAGGATTGATGTGAGAGGGTCCAGTCTCTGGGCCTATGGTCCTGAATGGTATAAAATGCATGCTGAGTAAAACACAGAAGCAAGCCAGCAAGCAGCATTCTTGTATGGTTCTGCTGTAGTTCCCGCCTCTAGTTCCTGTCTTATCTTCTCTATGGCCCAGGATATATAAGCCAAATAAATTCTTTCCTCCCCAAGTTGCTTTTGATCATTTTTTTAAATAACAGAAATAGAAACCCTAGTGAAGAAAGACACTTGTCTTTATGTATGTGAGTTTACCCATGTGAGTGCATATCCATGTGTGGACACAAGCTGTGTGTGTGTGTGTGTGTGTGTGTGTGTGTGTGTACAAGCACTACCCACTTCCCTCTGAGAATGTGGACCCCATATGGTTCAAGCTGGGACACTTTTCTCCCTGTTTACCCTTCTGCCTGTCGCATCACTGCAAGCTCTTTAAGTGATATCAGATAAATGAACCCAATAGTAAAAGATTAGGACCTTGGCATTCAGGCCCCCAGAAGGGAAAGAACAGCCAGTGGTCCATGTTTTTCCTTCACTTCGGCATCAGAGCACACATGGGGTCTTCTTCAGGATGGATGGAGTGCAGGGACTGAGGTTCAGACAGCCATGTGTCGGGTTATGGGGAGGTCGATGCTGTCTTCCTAGAAGGCAAGCATTGCTGGAGACTTTGAGATGCTCACTTTCAGGGCAGGGATTCTCTTCCGGGAAATAATGGACTGAGAGCTGTCAGATGGATGGATGAACTTTATACATACATACGTACATACATCAAAACAAGCTTGTTTTACATATAATCCCAGTTCCCACACCCTCCCATCCTCCCCTGTTTCCTGTACCCACCCCCATCCCATTCCCTTTCTGCTCCCCAGGGAGGGTGAGGCCTTCCATGTAGAGTCTTCATAGTCTGTCATATCATTTGGAGCAGGGCCTAGACCCTCCCCCATGTGTCTAGGCAGAGAGAGTATCCCTCTTTATGGAATGGGCTCCCAAAGTCCATTCGTATACTAGGGATAAATACTGATCCACCACCAGAGGCCCCATAGACTGACCAGTCCTTCCAACTAACACCACATTCAGGGGGTCTGGTTCAGTCTTATTCTGGTTTCTCAGCTATCAGACTGGAGTTCATGAGCTCCCCCTTGTCCAGGTCAGCAGTTCCTATGGACAACCCCATTCTTTAAAATAAATGTTAAAATATTGACAATTTCATACATGTGTATAGTATATTTGTTCACGCTCACCCTTTCATTACATTTTCTTATCCCCTTCTACTTATTCCAGTAAGTCCTCCTCTTATGTCTTTTTAAAGGAGACCCCCCTGAGTTTTAATTAGGGGGCACATATTAAGTACAGGAATACAGTTATTTATTTGAGCACGGTTAAGTTACCAGAGTGGCTACACCACTGAAGAAAATGGCTCCTCTTTCCACGGAAGCCACTGACTGCCCACAGTCCTTCGGTTGGGTGTGGAGTGTCATGAGCCCCGCCCAGTCAATGGTTGACTATTTACAGACTCAATCAATCTCATGCAGGTTTTACGCAGCTATTCCCCGATGCTGGAGATGGGAGGAGGCAAGTGCTCTCTGATTAGACCATATCCTGGTCCTTGCCTGTTTTTCTCCAGCCTTCACTTGTATCTTTCCACGCAGTGCTTGTATCTCAGGCCTCAGATCCCTACCATTCATCTGACAGGAACATGTTGGATTTAGGGCACATGTTAAATCATGGATGACCTCTTCACTAGCTGAGGCCTAGCATATAGCTGGAATGGTGGCCTGTGTGTGTCGCAGGTGTCCCGGTAGAGGTCAGCCCTTCTGCAGGATGTACTTTGGCAGCAGCGGGACAGGTGGACTGCACTTACTGGCGTGGAAAGACACCTGCAGAGCGCATTATTGCACAAGGAATGCAGACCCTGGGCTGTGAGTCCAAATGGGGCCATTCTGTGAAAGTTCTCAACATTAGGCTGCCTGCTCTGAGCAAGAATAACTCGCATCTTAGCTTCCTGTTTACCAGTGCGTTAACGGCTCCAGTGGACAAGCTCGTCAGCGGTTTTCCTTCACGTCCTCACTCCTTTAGGCATCATCTCCGTTCTTTATTTGATGTTTTCTGCAGTCAATGCTTATTACCTTAATAACCATAAAAGTGTTATTTTTATATTTTTAAAGCGACTCTTCCGTACTCGGTACTGAAGGTGGCACCTAGGCTCCAGAACGCCCCCGACTCACCCTGCAGGAAGGAAGACTGTCTGTGACATTTCTTGAGCAGCTGTTAGTCACTCAGTTGGGTGTGTTTACATAGACAGTTTGCACTTTCTGATTGCTGCCCCCAAGTTTTTCTGCCTGTTTTTGTGGTGCTGGGGATCAAGCCCAGGGATTAAGCATGGCAGATAAATCTCTACCACTGGGGCCTATCCCAGCTTCTGTGTGTGACTTCCCATGGGTTGCCTATGTCTCTGAGCCTGGACTTTTGTGATTTCTTTTATGAGGCTATCAATCACTGGATCCTGGTGCTCCCTAGACCCAAGATGGCTTTGTTTCAATGTCTTTGACTCTTCTATGCAAATACCTCACTCCCAAACAGGCTTTCTTTCCCGAATTCTGAGCAGATATGGGTCTGGGAGACACTGCTCGCTACAAATTCCTGGTGACATGAACACATGCACAAAATATCTTTTTCCTCTCCTCTGGAGAGTGGCTATCCTGTGACCTGAAGGATGCTTTTGAATGAGTCAGTCTCAGTCCCTGCCCACTGCTCCTGCCTGGGGCCAGGGAGAAGAGCAGCTGGCTCTGTCCTGCCTGTCCCAAGAGCAGAGCAGTGCATGAGAGGGACTAAGGTTTGTTTAGAGCATTTGTTCTCAACCTGTGGGTCACAACCCCTGTGTGTGGGGGGTTTCACATATCAGATATTTGGATAACAATTCATAACAGTAGAAAAATTACAGTTATAAAGTAGCAATGGAATGATTTTCTAGTTGGGGGTCAACGCAACATGAGGAACTGTATTAAAAAGAGTTGCCACATTAGGAAGGTTGAGAACCACTGGTTTAGAGGGTTTTGGTGAGCTTCTCTGGCAGGCAAGCTGTGGTCTGCACTTCCTCAGCCTGACTTCACAGCACAGAGGGATCCAACCTACTGCCCAAGATGCAGACATCCTCTTCTGCCCACCCATGAGAATCCTAAAATCAGTGGGCTGAGAGGCACTCCCTCTCCTCATTACTGTTAAGGGGATGGAGGCCTAGGTTGGGGGAAGTGTTGGCTTCAGCTCATGTCCAGTGGTGAGTGCAGGGTCCTGGGCCAATTCTCGCCTTTTCCCTAGCCTGGGCTGGGTGATAAGGTACTGGCATGGATTAAATGCTGTCCCTTGTTCTGTTGACAGGGACGCTGGGCTACTTTATAGTGGAAAAGCTCTTCTTCAAGGCATACTTGGGCCTTTTGAGACCACAAAGCCAACTGTCTGCAGGCACATCTGGAGCCTTGCAGAGAAGATAGACACGGAAAGAGGCAGTCTAGACAAGGAGAGGAAAAGAGCCTGTCTTGGACAGCAGCATTTGTACTTGGCCCCTCCTCGGCCGGGAGCTTCCCATTGAGCCAATGTATGGAGATGCATACCTCTCCTCACGTTCTTGTCTCTGTACTGTTGTTGACAAAGCCAGAGATGCTCTTGTGCAGCCACAAGACCTTGCCAGCTGTAGCCACTAGACTTCCCCAGGGATTCCGCACTCTGTGTGTCAGGCATCTCAGGTGACCCTGAATGTCAGGTTCTGGCTCGCCATGTTTCCTTGCTTAGTTGATATAATTCATTATGGGTTAAAACAAATGTTCTGGTAGCAGTTTTATATAGAAAGAGAAGTTTCAAGGAGCACAGTGCTGCCAGGAGCACCTACCCCACCTTTTCTGTGTGCACGTGGCTGTAGTGCAAGTGTCAGAATTGCGATTCATTGACACGGCTCATCAACTAACTTCATTTTCCACCCCATTTTCATTGCTTGCACTGAATTCCTGCTGGGCCTCAGGATGAGGCTTTTCTTGGTGGGGCCATTCTCCTATCCCTTTGCTCAGCCATCAGGCCTCTTGTGGAACTTCAAGCTGTCACATGTGTCCCTAGGAGGAATCTCCAGGAGCAAGGGTCTCATGATGGCCTCCTGTTCATATGACTTATCCCCGTGGAAGCTGATGTTTGTCACCAGGCTCGGGTGACAATTATCAGGTTCATCTGCTGTACCAATCTCTCAATCCATTTTCTTCCTTCCTTCCTTCCTTCCTTCCTTCCTTCCTTCCTTCCTTTCTTTCTATGGAAGGCTTCACGGATTTGCATGCCATTTTTCATGCCATGCTAATCTTCTCTGTATCATTCCAATATTTTAGTATATGTTCTGCCAAAGAGAGCACCCTCCATCCATTGTCTGCGCTGTATGTTGGGAAGACATACTATGCATGGCCCATACTTGAGGAAGGTGAGGTTCGCATCATGTCACAGAGGATGGAGTGCCTGCATGAAAGATCTAGAGTTTTCTAGAACAAGTCATTCTATCTATCTACACACTGTTCCTTTCTTCTTCCTTCCATCCATTGCTTTTTCCATCTGTCCTTTCTGCATGCATGCATGCATGGAGTCAGTCATGTATTTTATCAGTATGGACTCCATACTTCTGGGGTTGGGCAATGGCCACTTCCATACCAGTTACAATCGGGTATACCCCCTGTGTCTTTCCAGTGACCCCTGTGAGCCCCGATGGGGTCTGTTGTATCCAACTCTCCTACATTCTGGCTACATGATGCCTGGGACTCATCTTGTATACCTCTTACCCAAGCTCATCTCAGACATGTCCCAAGGTACCTTACTGCCTCTCATTGGAGATGGTTCTGGAAAATAAGACTTGGGTTCTGGGCTGCTTGCTGAGGCTGAGGTGGCACAGTTGTTGGATGCTCTAATTCATGGGTCTAGTAGGTGAATGTGCACACACACACACCTGTGCACACATCTAGCTGTTATTCATTTATTTATTTTTGCCATGTCCGTTTGAGGTCCCTCTACCTCATTCCAGCGCCTCATTGATTGTCTCTGATCTCTGTCATTGGTAGGTTGACCCCTAGCTCTCTATTCCATGGGTCAGCTCTGGGGCATGCACAGGAGCAGCAGTGTGGCTGACCCACCCATGTGTGGGCAGTGCTGTATCAGCTGACACACAGTTCCTCTTGCCTTTTGCTTTCCAGACTCTACTCGCCTCAGAAGTACTTAGGTCAGCACTTTTCGCTGCTGTGGTGGGTTTTTGATCACGGTCTGTTTAGTTCAAAGCCTGGGAAGTAAAAGGAAGCGGTTTGAATCACCCAGTGTCTTAGCTCCCAGGGGCCCCTCTCTAAGCTGCTGGGCAGACATTCATCTTCCACCTGCCTATCCCAGACTGAACCCCGAGTCGGCCTCATCTTGCCTGTTAAATGACATTTGCTTACTTTGAGTTTTCTTCCCACAGCTCATCAACAGTGCTGTGCTTGCTACACTGCTGTCAGGAGAGGCCCTAGGACTGACTCCAAGAGCAGAAGTGGTGGGCGATACTCCTGCAAGAGCTCCCATGTGGGGACAACCTGCATGGGGGCAGATCTCATGGGGCAAGGTAAAGTGGTGGCTGTGGCAGTCCTGGGAGAATGGGAAGGTGATTTATGGGTCTTGGGACGGTGTCTGAGTCGATTAGGAAAGCAGATGAGTCCCCTCAGGGAAGTAGGCTTGGGCGGTGATCTGGGGGAGATAAAGGAACTGGGGACTTAGCTAAATGCTTGCTGAGCAAGCATGAGGATCTGAGTCAGAACCCATGTAAAAATCTGTGTGTGGAGGTGCTTGTTTGGAATCCCAGCACTGTTCCTGGCAGAGACAGGTGGATCCCCGGGGCTCACTGGCAAGCCAATCTAGCCTAACCTGTGAGCTTCAGGTCAGTTAGAGAACCTGTCTCAAAAAAGATGGACTGTATCTGAGAAAGACACCCGCTATTACCTCTGACCTTCATCCACACCTACATGTATATGCAGGCACACCCCTCACAAGTGCATTGGTATATACACACACTAACATGCATGTGCATTGGTGTATACACACACTAACATGCATACACATATAGAAAAAGAGGGAGGCTGAAAAAGGAAAGAGGAAGGTGAGCCAGGCAGAGGGCATCGCCTAGGCGTGGGTCCTGAAGAGGAGGGGCATGGACTGCGTGGGTGGGGTGTTGGACATGGATGCTGTTAAACATATCGGGGAGCTCTCAGAAGGTGAGGCATGGGAACTATGGAGGGGCTTTGAGCAGAAGAGGGGAGAAAGGAAGGGTGAGAGGCCAGGAAAGTACAGCAGTCTAGCAGAGGACCAGCTGTATGTAGCTGATGTCTCCTGCTGGTGACTCTACCCATGAGGCTTCATGTCATGCAGACCTGACTAGAACATTTCCTCAAGCTCTTCTTGCTTCAGGGTCTCTGAACCTGCTGCCTCTTCCTGTGGTCAGTCAGCTGTCAGCCCAGGGATCCATGCCTGTTCTGAGTCAGCCTCCTGCTCTTCCCTTCCATGCCCTTTGCAGCCTGGGCTCCATCCCCCATCCCTCCCTGGCATCCTGGTGGGGTTGGGCTTGATGCTGGTAGGGGTATAGATGAACCAGCTTCTGGCTGTATAAGCAGCCCCAACTTAGAGGTGTAAAGCACACATGAGTTCTCCGGGGCTCTGGGTTGGATCCCAGCCTCTAGGTTGGAGCTGTATGAGCTGGAAGGCACCTTCATTTTGCAGAGGGAAATTTGCTGTCGTTACAGGAGAAACTCAGAGAAGGAGGGTTTTTGTATTGGTTGTGTCTCCAGGTCCCTCTGCCAACACCCAGGAAAATGCTTCAAGCCTCTGCCATTTGGTGGCTTTTTGTTCTTCCCACACTCACTGGCCTCGTGGGTGCAGACAGGGCTGAAGCTCTTAGCATGAGGGAAACCACAGGGTGCTGTGAGCTGCATCCAGGACATTTGCAGAGGGAAAACACGGCTCACAGATGAAGGGTCCATGTCACAGGTCTACTTCACGAACCCAGCCTGATGGTTTTCTACATGGCAAGTCTTTTCTCTGTGCTGTTTCTCTTGTCTCTCAGGCCCGCCTCACAGGGATAAAGAGGCTCATTTTCATAGTCTGGCTTCTGCTTCCCAGGCAGTGTGTCCTGGACAGACCCTTAGCTATCTGCACCAAGCCTGACCCAATCCATGTCGGTTATAGGACGTAATCTAAATCACAGGGTTCAGGTGAACTCTGATTTATGTCGCCACAGTAAAGACCAGGAACTATGCTGGGTACAGGGAGGCCAGTGAACCAAGGCGGATGGCTCTGTGACCTCTGCAGGGAGGTGAAGCAGGGTGCTGTCTGCTAGTCAGCACTGTGAGAGACACTGTCCTCAGCCTACGCTCCCACATCCACATCCAGGATCCACAGCCAGCCCAGCGTTCTGTCTCTCAGCAGCCATGCACAGGACACCTGTCTGCAGACACAGAGTGACCACAGTCACACAGTCAGCAAGGAGTGGCAAAAGTGGAACTTTTAGAAATGTCCTTCTGGAAATAAAAGCAGAAAAGCACAATCAAGCTCCCAGAACAGGTAACTGTTTCTCTCCAGCAGCTACCAGCTGAGGCAGGAGGCTGCATGTTACAAAATTGCTTCTCTGGAGGGTGGGACCCAGACTGGACTGGGACCATGATCTCCCAGGGCACCATGCCTTCTATGGGAAAGACTCCTGGAGATAACCTGAGCTCCGCTGTGCTGGGGTCCTTACTTCCTGAACAATGGGACTCAACAGGCAAGGGTTCTAGTGGCAGCCTTCCGGCAAAGAACATCCACCAGCTGCCCAAGGCCAAGGTTCTTGTATCCACTATTGCTGCTGAGGGTGAGTTACAGCTCAGTTCAAGGCTGGTCATGGGTAGGGTGGAAAGAAGTGTCATTACCAGATGTCCATTGTGATTAACTAGGAAATTAATAGGCCTCAGCTCCCTCTGCTTTTGGTGAGCATCTTGCAATCCCATAAATGTGCTGGAGTCCAGTTGCTGAGAACAGCTTGACTCCACCCCCATCCATCAGCTGCTGAAGATCTTTTCTGAGAGCCTTAGCCAGTGCCTGAACAGTATTCCAGAAGCCAGAAACTGGCTTTGGTGCCCACCTATTGCATCAGCTGTGTTCTGGCTGGACACTCGCATCAGGATGTCTCAGCGGCAGCTCTGGGCATCTTGCTGACCTCACCTGAATTGTTTTTTCTGCTTTTGTTTGGGGAATGCTGCACCCAACCACCAGCAGCCTGGGTACCAGAGGGGATGGATGGTGGGGCATGGGTTCCTGTTCACTGCCTCTGGTCTTTCCACTGGAGAGTCCAGCTGGTGAGGCGAGGCTTTGCCACTGGTCCTGTGGGACTCCCAGCATTTTCTGTCCTGCATCCAAGTCCTCAGTTTGCCTCTTATCTTCCAGGGCCTGAGACTTCTGCTCTGTTCTGGCTGAGACTATGGATAAAGGTGCCTGAATGGGGGTGGGCAGATGCACCACATCTCCAGCTGGGGTTGGGTGTGGACTCAGGCTCCCTCTGGGGTCTGCTTTGTGGTGGCTGTGAGGAGGCTGCTCCTTCCCTGCAAGTACTCAGCCCACTGCAACCCTCCCACTCCCACCATGGAGCTGAATTCCATCTGGATTAGCGTTAAGTATATTAAAAAAAAATAGGGACCCAAAAAGTGAGAATTAAGTAGAATTTAATATTCATCCCGCCTCGGGAGAGAGCAGCTTTCCTAAGTTTAGAACTAATACAAGGAATCAGGAGAGAAAATATGGACAGGCTTGGCTGCGTCGGAATGAAAATCTTCTGCATGTCAGATGAAAACTGCCAACCAAAGGCCGGGGCTGCACAGCCCAGAAAAGACATCTGCAGCAAGTGTGACAGGCGAGGCTTAATTTCTTTATTAAAGAACTTCTCAAGTTTCTCAGAGGATGTGGGAGAGCACGCAAGGCTGTGAAGTTCAGGCTGTTTTCAAGAGAGGAAAGTCACCAAAGGAACACTTTGCTAATGCTGTGAGACCATCAGAGAGCTTGGGCGGGGGACCAGAGCTAACAATACTCATCCATCCATCCATCCATCCATCCATCCATCCATCCATTATTTTAAAATTGTTACTTAAATTATTGTCACTATTTTTTAATGTGTATGTTTTGGATGTGTACGTCACTGTACTGTGTGTATACTTGTTGCCTGCACAGGTCAAAAGACTGTGTTGGATCCCCCAGAAATGGAGCTACAGACAGTTGTGAGCTGTCATGTGGGTGCTGGGGACTGAACCCTTACTCTCTGGAAGAGCAAATAGTGCTCTTAACCAACCGAACCATCCCATCTCTCCAGCTACAGGAGATTT